ATGTTGAAATCTTCCATGTAGAACGCTGTTTACCTCATGGAGATAGAGCAGCGTAGAGGGCTTACAGCTAAACTTTTAAAATATAGTCCTATTTAGCAAATGGAGAAGAGATCATAATCTTTAAAGAGTGTGTTAGAAAGATACCATGCTAATATTATGTCAGAGGCCTAAGGAGGAGAACAGATTACAAGGAAGACTCATGAATAATATTACAGCCCTCAGTGAAATCAGAATATGGGTAAGCAGAATGCTGTTAAATTTGAAGATTAGTTATTTATTTTGATAAGAAATGTTCCTTTGATGAAAATTAGAGCTCATTCTTCAAAATCACTTTTATGTATCTACTGGTTCTATCAAGATAGTTACAGCAGTTTCCTTTTTTATATAAATTTATTATCTTAGCACTCTGTGAACAGTTACCTTTAATTCATATTTAATAATGTTTATACATTAAAGAATTTTCGATATTAAAGGAAACATTCATTTGCTAATGGTCTTTAAAGTAATGTGATGACACCTACCTAGCCTATTACAGTGTGGGTAATTTCCCTGAAGATCTGTTTTTTGTTTGCACTGTAACCATCATAATGATTAAAGTGGCCAAAGCATATTTTAGGCATATGTATGATAGTGTCTGTCTTCAGTATTTAGTATACTTTCTTAATTAAGTTTATTTCTCCCCTGGTAGATAAACTCTAAAAGTTCTTTATACATAAGGACTTTCTAAGTTCTTTATACATAAGGACTTTCTAAGGATAATTCTTAGCATAAGTTCTGTTTCCCAGCTATTTTATTCCTGGGATGAGTCTGTATCACAGAATCGTTAGGATGTTTAAAGATTCATAATTTCAATTATGGAGTATTTCTAGGTAAGATGCTCCCTTCTAAACAGTGGAATAGTTTTAAAAATGAATGAGGCAAAAAACAAAACAAAACAAAAAACCTGACCCTGGTCATAAACCTGGAATAATTCCTTAACAGGACGATTCTGCTTAAGATAGCCCATATTTAAAAAAAAATTTTTTTTAATGTTTATTTTTGAGAGAGACAGAGACAGCACAGTCAAAAATAAATAATGTTTATTTTTGAGAGAGACAGAGGCAGTTACAGAGACAGTGAGTGGGTTAGGGGCAGAAGGAGAGGGAGACACAGAATCCGAAGCAGGCTCCAGGCTGTGAGCTGTCAGCACAGAGCCCACCGTGGGGCTCGAACTCATGAGCTGTGAGATCACGACCTGAGCCGAAGTCGGACACTCAACCGACTGAGCCACCCAGGCGCCCCAAGATAGCCCATATTTTTAACATTCTTGAATTATGTTGAGTTTCTCCACGACTGCATACTTCTCATATTCACCTGTGTGTATATTCTTCATGATTGATGTAATTTAGACTCTGTAATTTTAGTCTGCATTGTAGTGCTTTTACTATATACCTCATTTCCAGATTTGTCTAATTTTTCCAAAAAGTCTTCCTGAATATCAGATGTTAGAATTTTAGAACTGGGTAGGACTTTGGCGATCATTTAAATTATCTCTATCGCAGAGAGATTAAGTGATTTGCCAATAACCAGAGAAGTCTCTTAGGTCTTAGGCCTCATTTCTCTGTCTCCTTTAATTATTCATCATTCTATTTCACAAAAATTACATTGGTAGTTGTGGATAGTATTCTGCCTTAAAAAAGATACTAGTATTCTTCATTAAATATGACAGTTCTGTCATCATCATGGCTTTTCGCTCATAAGTTTTTCTATTATTTTAAATTCAGTGTAAACCTCTAAATAGTACTCCTCATTTCTTGGAAATATTTCGAGAATTCTTTGGTCAGTAATGAGAATTTCCCTAACAAAGGAATTATTATTATTTTAACTCATCTAATCCTTTTATCTCTTGCTTTAAAAATAAAACAGAATGACTTCTGTATCATAATTGCATAATAAATTTTTTATTTTAACTCCTGTTCTTTTGAAATTTTTGCACTTACTGGTAAATACCATCTCTTGGATTTTCTCAGCTCTCCTTATTGTGATTTAATGTGTATGAGTTTTATTATGTGGTCTGTATTTACATATGTTCCAAATGTTTCTTAAGCATGCTTGATTTTATTAGGAATAGTTCATCCAAAATTTACTTTGAAAATTCTTCTCTTATTATTCCTTTCCATTTTTAATTTTCTACAACATACATCAAATACTAGCATAAGTTACGTGCTGTATTAAATTTTATGTTGACTTATTCTTGGTCAGTACATTTAGTTTTATGATAGGCCCATATAACTTTAATATGGATAGAGAAGATATTTTCATCCTTTTGGTTTTTGAATAGAAGCTTCGTTGTTTTCTAGTTGCACATGAATATTCAAATAGTGCCTTCATTATTTTTTTTTCCCCTTTGGGAATTCTTAGAAATACTTTCAGCCTGATTTAAGGTGAAATCATTTTTCAGAGAGAAATACGTAACTTTCTTTTTTGGTTGGCTTACTTAATCATAGCATAAAAACAGTTACAGTGTGGTTATATAGGAAAAGTAAAATAATTTTTCTACTTTGTATCAGCTGGAGAGCCTAGTCTGCATTTTATAGTTGTGTGATGATTATATTCTGAGGAGCAGTTACTAAAGATAAATTTGGCATTTTAATAAGGTTATGGACACCTTTTCTGATTCATGAGTAGATTCTTTCAATGCCTTCTTTAATGAATAATGGTTAAGCCAGATAATGTGCTTTTACTTTTTTCTGATGTTCTGGAAATATACTTTTATTTTGTCCGTATGAAAGTCATAACAGATGCCTTTAACCAAGAAAATTGGTACTGTCCTGACATATTCAAACATCATGTGTTATATAGGAAAGACAGTGACCCTCAGTAGGACTGATTTTTTTCTTTGCTTCTTTAGAATTTTATAAGTTCCACATCTCCCAATTATTCTTTTAGAGATCTACTAACTATAAATGTGGCAACATTGGTAGATTAAATGGAAATAGGGTTGATTAATCGTCATACAGCCCACTCCACAAAAAAAAAAAAAGAAAGAAAAAAAAGAAAAGAAAAGGAAAGAAAATGTGTAGAGTAGGGTTGCCTAAACATGTAAAGGATACCATGCTTATGAATATCTATTAAATATCCCTTGTCATTGCTGATCAGACTTCTTTCAGATCTCTTCCTCTGTTCTGCTGTGTACTTAGAATTGTAAACTTAGACTTAAAATAATAGTGTTACATTTTGGGGAGCATTTATTATAATAGAGTAGATTTATAAAGTAGTTGCTTTTTTGTTTTCACTTTCATTTTTTGTGAAATTTGGAATGAACTGAGATAAAACATCTAACAATTGCCAAGGCAATTTGAATTGTCTTGAATTTTTTATATGAAATTCTGTCTAGAGGTAAACTTTTTCAAGTGGTTACTTGCTTATAATAGTTTGTGTAACTTTTTATTTGGTCAGAAAACATTGAAAAAGAAAGACCTGAACCCTGACACTTCTTTTTTTGTAGTCTTTCATTTTTGGCATATACTAAGATGTGTGTATCTCCTAATGCTTGTATGCTACTTAGGAGAAATCATTCTATTCTTTCTCCTTTTGAATAGTTTTAAGCAAGACTTGGAATCAGTTCCCTTTCTCTACTGTCTTATCCTCCAACCTTCTTCATAACCATTTTCTTCCTTTTATGGTAAATCTTTAAGTGTATTAGTCATTAGGTAAGTTTACCAATTTTCATATGATTAATTTTAAGAAAATTCTTATTTCTTTCCCATTATTACCACTATCCAAAACATTAATAAACACCAGTGGTCTCTTTCCTTCTTTTCAAAAAGCTGAAGAAAAACTAGTTTTCTTTTTGAGTCAGTCCCATTTGTGATATTATGTTAACTTCTTAGGCAGAGCCCTTTCTTTTAGAGTGATAGTTTCTCTTTTGACCACAATGCAAACTTTCCTTGAGAAATTAACTTTTCTTCTGAATTTTAATTTCACTTCCATTTTTGGTGAACTACACATCCATCCCTATGCCATATTTTTAACACTAAAGAAAGAAAATTACCATTTCTCTCTTCTCTAAGCATTTCCTGGAATATTGGGATAGTACTAGTACAATTCAGTTGTTCTAGATCAGTGGATACCGGAACAGAGAGGAGGTATTTCTTACCTGATAATGTGTGTGTGTTCCGATTCTGCTAATCCAGAAATCCAATCGCATTTGTTGAAAATCATCCTTAGTTGTTATTTGTTAGGGAGTCGACTCCCTATTTTAGTTGTTTTCTGAAATTCAGTCCCTAGATGTGCTTTAGATAGGGTAGAACTTTTACCTCTTTCAGAACACTGCTAAAGAAGTTTTCAACTGGAACATAGTCTGAAGAAGCACTGAGAGCAAAAAAAATTCAGAGTGGTGATTGGCCACCTCTGTTTGATTGACAGGTTGCAGGGAGAAACCCATTCGTTCTGGATTAATGGAACTGGAAAACAGAAAACAATTATCAGGTAAAAAAAACCTTTTCTTTAACCTTTGAAATTCACCATTTAAAAGATGAGTCAGACCATCAAGGGAATTTATTACCAAAAGGAAAAAATTTAGTGTCTTGTGAACAATAATCTCTGGCTACTACTTCCAAGAGTTAAGAAAAAATCATTACAGTTACTACACATTGTCAGCCTTTGCTGAAAGGGCTTGATTAAATGCAGATAAGATGGAATGCAAGGTGCAGTTACATTTTAAATGTGGCTTAAAGACATGAAGCAGAATTCTCTGGGTGGGGGAGATTGATGTTTTATTTCTTGAATTGTGTCTGGTCTGTGTGTGCATAAAGAAAACACTTTGTTTTTCAAGGCTATTAATCTGGCACTTTTCATGAATATTCACAAATTTTGTTACTGTACTGTGTTATACTTAATCTTCACTTCATTGGGATGTATACTTTTACATATCTTTTACCATAAAATTTTAGTAACAGTAATGACCAGTCTTTTTATTTTAATGGTACCTTTCTGATTGTTGGTTAAATATATTTCAGATTGAAGGCCAAGGACATGGTGCAGTATTTGACTGCAAATGCTCTCCTGATGGTCAGCATTTTGCATGCACAGACTCTCATGGACATCTTCTAATTTTTGGTTTTGGCTCCAGTAGCAAATATGACAAGGTAGAGTATGATGATGATGATGATGATGATGATGATGATGATGATGATTCTTCTCTTTGTTTTTGTTTTTTTTTTTTAATCTGTGGATGCTTAGGGGTTGTATTTCTTCTTCAGGGGTGGGTAAGCATCATTTATGCTTTAAGAATCATATTTTAAGTATTCTAGAGACTTAAGTTTCAGTGAACATAGCAGTTGTTAAATTCCTCTTCTCTGTAATAGACATTAGATAATATTTTATTCAGTCGTCTATATTCATAAAGAATAACTTTTTACTTAGGTTGCTAGAGCAATCTAGCTTGTAATTCTAAAGCTGAGCGTGAGAGAGGTTGTCCATAGAGAGACTCTGAAATTATGTAAAATGTTTTATCTATATGGATAAAATACATTTATTTACCTGGGGTAAAAATCTGTAGCTTTTATATGATTCCCAAAAATGTATGACCCACTGATGTAGCGTAGCTAATATTTTTAAATACTAAAGAGCCTATTTAAGTTCATTGATTAAAAGACTTAAAAGTTGAATAGGTCATAGTTTAAGAAATACCAAATCAATAAAATTGTGAAGTTACAGATGTGTCAGGCATGAGTTCATGTTAATAATTTTGTGTTAATTTAAAAAAAAAATTCTTTAGTGAAAATGCTTATTAACTCTTGGAAAATCTTGTCATGTTGATTTTTAGGTTAATATAAGTCACATGTACAGTATACTTAAGAGTTGTCTTAAATTGTATAAGTGATTGCATTAGAGTTTAATTCAAGGAATATATTCATTGAGTGATTTCCTCTTGCAAAATGGCTAAAACAATTACTGTTTAATAATTTAAAAAATAAGATAATGCATGGTAGCTCTATGAAAGTAATAGTACCCCTGAATGATTTATACCTAGATTTTATTTTACCATTTAATTTGAAATTACACAACTTTAATTATGTTAGTGTTTTATGTATACAGTCTTTTCCTTGTTCCAGAGAAAATTGAGAGCAGCTGCTTTTCTGATCATAAAATTTAATGTAAAAATATAGTAAAGATTTCTTTACCATTAACTCAAGAATATTCTTTTATATTGTTGCTTAATACCATGATTTACATTAAAACATTGCCTTCCATTAGAAATTTATCAATGATAAGTTTTTGTTTTCCTTGTCTTTTATGGGTCTTTTCTTTTTACAGATAGCAGATCAGATGTTCTTTCATAGTGATTATCGGCCCCTTATTCGTGATGCCAACAACTTTGTATTAGATGAACAGACTCAGCAAGCACCTCACCTCATGCCTCCTCCTTTTTTGGTTGATGTTGATGGTAACCCTCATCCATCAAGATATCAGAGATTAGTTCCTGGTCGTGAAAATTGTAGGGAGGAGCAACTCATCCCTCAAATGGGAGTAACTTCCTCAGGTAAATGCTCATTTTCATAGACTGCCAAATTTTCCATTTCTACTGATGTCCTGTAAAACTGCTAATTGGGTAAAATTTTGTTACTATTTTGAACAAATGAGAAGTAAAGTGATTTTTAAAAATTTCTCTTAAGTCTTTTGAATAATGCTTAAGTATGTACTACAAGATAACTAAGGAACATTGGAGAGCAATAATCTTGGTCATTTATTTATTTATTCAACAGCATATATTGAGAATCTTCTCTGTAACACCTCTAAACTGGTTTGCAGTAGTGAATTAAACAGACACAATCCTTGTTCTCCTGGAATAAAATTCATAAACACAGTTGTAAACAAATAGTTAAAACTTATGATACATGTTCTTGAAGGGAATAATAGTATGAGGTGAAAGATTAAGACTAGATAGCCTGTTCATATCAAAGATTATTTTAAGAAGTGATCAACTTTTAACAATTTTAAGTAAGTTAGGGACAAAAGTGTTGAGATCTTATTAGTGAAGTAATGGAGAGTAAAAGTAAAATTAGTTGAAGAATTGAAAGGAAGTTGAAATGGAAACAAGGTCTGCAAATCTTTCCTTTTGACAAAAAATGTGGGAATAATTAATGAAGTGAAAGTAATGGAGAGACCCTATAAAGAAGATTAAACCAATTTTCTAATATATGAATCTGTTATATTTTAGATTAGAAAAATGCTTATGAAAATATTTTAAGTTCTGAACGCTAGCATAATGGACAAAAGTTCTAAGTAGATGTAAAGGACACATATGAGATGTAATATATACTGAGTAACTTTGAAATAATGGATTTAGATTCTATTAAGGCTGCATCAAAAAACCCATCTCACTGTATTACAGAGAGCGCATCTCTTATTTTCCATTAAGGATTGGGCATGAAATTGCAATGAAGGTGAACATATTGGATAGGAAGGGCTACTCTTTAAAGTAGATATGCCCACTAAGGATGGAAGGTGAGGAGAAGCATTAGAAGAATAGTCCCTGCTGCTACTTGCAGTGAGTAGTACAATCCAGCAGGCCTGAATGTCTGAAATATGTGAAACTAAAATGTCTCATACATGGACATAGCACAAACTCAAAGAATCTAAGAACAGGTAGTATTTGAGAAATCTAGGCAAGTATTCAAATTAGAGAAGTCTCAATTATTAAAGAAGTTTTGATCATGGGACTGAAATTAAGATAAATGTCTTCAGTCTCTTGGAGGGGAACTGGCAAGAATCAAATCTTGCCCAGGTCTCAAAATAGGTACCTAGGCTGGGATTTCAGGCACAGAGAAATATTAAAATATCAGTGCAACATGATTATCATGGTTATCACTTTTTTCTTCCATTTAACAGTTTGTATTGGACTTTCATAAATAATATCATATATATATATATATATATATATATATATATATATATATGGCATCCTTATTCTAAAAGTTGAGAAAATGAAAATTTAGTAACATGTCTTATTTAAGTTAAGTATATGGAACCACCGGGACTTTAAATCCAGCTCTGACTTTTAGTTCATTCTTTCTTCCATACTAAGCTACCCCTACAGTAAAAGAGTGTTCCTGTTCTTGACAGTAAGTTAGACACCAGTTATTAGTACAGGACCACAAGAGAACCCATAGCAATAATTATGGCTTCAACGTGAGTCATAGGATTAAGTGTTCTAGGTCACAAAATTCAAGGTAAACTTCATTTTTTTTCCATTATTTTAGACTTAACCTAGTGTAATATAGGACAGAAGGAAAATATTTTTAGCATCATTTGTAACTATATTTTTATTTGTAAATCTAAATCTGCAATAAAATTTATTGTGGAAATCCCTTAGAATTAGGTAAAAATAGATGGCTGTTATGATAATAAGTTGGCTTCAGTGCAGTTTATATTTACACTGTTAAATTTGTATTTGAGCAGTGCACTTTTTAAATATGCTGCTTCAGTTATAACTTGAGCTATCAGATTAGTCACTGATGTTCAGACATGAGACACTACCCAGCAGCCTAACAGGAAAGGAACATCCACAGGCATTTTAGCTTTTACCTCTACTTTTACCACTTTGAAGCTCTGTGACTTTGGGCAAGTTCATTTTATCCCATTGAATTTTACTTCTCTCATAAAATGAAGTAACATTGTGTGCTTATTAATACATGTAATTTTCCTTTTCCTTATACCTTCCTTACTACTAATTCTTCATTTCAGAATGTCCTTTGTATCTTCTGTTCCCAGCCCACTCTAGAAATCCATCTCTTATATACCCACACACCCAATACTAATTGCTCCTTTTTTCTCATGGCAATGTTTTCATGTATCTCAATACACATTTTTTATCTATTCAGCAGGATTGAACATTCTTAGATCCCTATTTAAAATTAGAATATTAAGGTAAATAAAGCAATCCATGCTTTTGAGGAACTATCTAGTGGGCTTCCTTTTTATATTGGGCTTGAGGAAATGAAAGAGGATAGCAGCTAAGTGTTTCAGGGGTAGTCTGGAAAGATTTCACAGAGGAAGTATCATAGAGTTGCCATTTCAGTTGGTGCTTGAAGGATAAGTTAGTGTTTTTCAGATTTATACTTGAACTGGGAGTATTGTGGTTAAAATCTCCAAAGCATAAAGGTGTTTATCCTGTTAGGAGAGCAGAAGAGTCAAGTAGTCCCATATGACAGATACAGGTGAAAGTTGATGCTGGAAAATTATGGTGGGTTAAAACACACCAAGTTCCTACCTACCTGAGGCTTTGTTCCAATTCTTACTTTGTCTGGAGTGTTCATTTTCTTGCTCTTCACCTGGACGACTAATTCTTTTTCTTCAAGTCTTAGCTCAAATGCTGCCTTCTCAAAGAGGGCTTCTTTGACTTTTCTGATTCGCCATAAGTAGTTCCCATCTGTCTTCCCCATTTTCTTTTTCTCATTATCATCTTTAACATTTTTCAGTCTGCATTTTTTATATGGATTTATTGTTCCAACTTTTCCATTAGGATGCTAGCTGCTTAAAGGCAAGGACCTTGAATTCTACTCACCACTGCATCCTCACTTCTTTGGTATAGTTCCAAACACATAATAGACACTCAAGGATTTGGTGAATAAATGAAGCAGTAAAGTTTTTTTGAGAAAGTTGGGTAATGAGATTTGCCTTTTTTAAAAGAAACTGGTCTAAGATGAAATCCTACTTTTGCCATTTACCAGATATGTGACTTTGAGTAATTATTTTGGTTTTCTCATCTGTAAGTGGAGTTAATAATACGTATCTTACTGAATTATTGTGAGGATTATATGAGTGCCTGAATCATGGTAAACAGTAAGTTATCCATGTCACTGTTATTTGTAGCAAATTAGGTTTGCGTTGTCATGTTCCTGGTGTGTGTGTGTGTGTGTGTCTGTGTGTGTGTGTGTGTGTGTGTGTGTGTGTGTGTGTGTACGCATTTTACTGCCATTATTTCAAATTAATCATTTTAGGTCTCTTACTCAAGCAAAATTTATGTTTAATTCAGGACTCAAAGTGAACTCAATTAGTAAAATGGTTTGACTAGTGGACTAAAGTGTCCTTAGCATTTTATGTGGTATTAAATAGGACTGAATCAAGTTTTAAGTCAGCAAGCAAACCAGGAGATCAGCCCACTGGACAGCATGATTCAAAGACTACAACAGGAGCAAGACCTGAGACGTTCTAGTGAAGCAGGTATCAGTAATACCAGCCGTTTAAATAGAGGTAAGCAGTGATTGCTTCAAGTAAAATATTTTAAAAATTGTAATAGTTTAAACAGTAAAGAGGCGATGAAACAAATTCATGGCACATCCATAAAATGAAATATTTGGCTGCCAGAATGATCATGTTTTTAAAAACACATAATAGCTAAGAAAATCCTCATAACATAAGGTTTCAAACTGTAGATAATGAGTCTTTAAATAGATATATTCTTCAGATTTCCCATAGTAAACATGTAGAACCTAGAAAAACTTAAAAAATAAATGTATTCAATAATGTATGAAATACCCGCCACATTCTCAAATATCTTGTCACCCTACTGTAACATATTATTTTAAGAGAAAAGTTAAAGCAAATTTATGAACCATAAATATTTTGGGTTTATCTGTTTTTGCTTCTTACATAGGTTTCCCAGAGTACAAAGCATATTTTAAAAAGTAATGATTTTACATGTTTACAGTCAGTTAGTAGTTATGATTCATTAGCTTATTTAATTAACTGAGTAACTGTGTTTTGTTTTCATTAAACTTTTGCCTGTGGTCTGGTTCCTGATTTGGTAGTTTGTTTGCCTTAATACGAAGTTTCATGTGGAAGATAGTATAGATTTTGTTTTTTCTGTTATAAGCTTATGTTTCTAACTAGAACTTACTATATTAATTTTTTCACTTAGGCTCTGTAAGTTCTACCTCAGAGGTTCATTCACCACCAAATGTAGGACTAAGACGTAGTGGACAAATTGAAGGTGTACGGCAGATGCATAGCAATGCACCAAGAAGTGAAATAGCCACAGAGCGGGATCTGGTAGCTTGGAGTCGAAGGGTTGTGGTACCTGAGCTATCAGCCGGTGTAGCCAGGTAAGGGGGGTTGTGAAGTTTATGTACCGTTATGTATATTAAAAATAAATTTCTAATTTATTTTAAATTTATCTGAAGAGCTAGTGTTTTAAACTAGCCATGACTCTGAAGGAAAGTTAAGTTTCAATTATGTCCTTTTCTAGAATGATTCATGAAATGATTCATGTGAAAGATGTGGGGGGGGGGGGTTAAGGTGAGCAGCATATTTAAATCTTAGTTTATCTTGTTTAACTATATTTTAAAACATATATTTCATGAAGTTATAATTTTTTATGGATTTTGCTCTGCACACCATATATAGGTAATTATAGTGAAATTATAATGAAATAATTATAGTGGAATTATAAATATAGTGAAATGCGTGGTATTTATTGGTAATACATTATATAATCATTTTTTATATATCAAAATGGTTCCTTAATGATTATTTTTTATATTTGGATGTATACATATATAAATTTTGATTTGATATAATTCTGTTCTGAAGGTCCATGTTATGAAAGAACTTTATATCCAGTTGCTTTTGATTTCTTTTGATTTACTAATGCATTATTCATGAATGTGGTCCATATGAACCCAGCTAGTACTAACTTAAAGTTGACCCTGGAACAACATGGGAGTTGGGGATGCTGACCCCTGTATGACTAAATTTGCATATAACTTTTGACTACCCAGAAACTCAACTAATAACACAAACAGTTAGCTAACACATGTTTTGTGTATTATATGTATTATGTATGGTATTCTTACAACGAAGTAAGCTAGGGAAAAGAAAATGTTAAGAAAATCAAAAGGAAGAGAAAATGCACTTATACTACTTTACTGTAAAAAATCCACATGTGGAGTACATGGTGACTCAGTTGGTTGAGCATCTGACTTCAGCCTAAGTCGTGATCTTGCTGTTCCCAACTTTGAGCCCATGCCGCGCTCTGTGCTGACAGTTCAGAACCTGGAGCCTGTTTCAGATTCTTTGTCTCCCTCTTTGTTTGTCCCTTCCCCACTCATGCTCTGTCTCTTTCTCTCAAAAACAAATAAACATTAAAAAAAAAATTTGTTTAATCTTCTAAAAACAAAAATCCATGCATAAGCGGACTTGAACTCAAAAGATAGTAATGATACAATTTAAAAACACTTTTAAGGGTGCCTGGGTGGCTCAGTCGGTTAAGCGTCCAACTCTTGATTTCGGCTCAGATCATGATCTTGCAGTTCCTGAGGTTGAGCCCTGCATTGTATCAGGTTCTGCACTGGCAGCATGGGGCCTGCTTGGGATTCTCTGTCCCTCCCTTTTCTCTCTGCCCCTCCCCTTCTCGTGCACAGTCTTTTTCTGTCTGTCTCTCAAATAAATAAACTTAAGTAATAAATAAAGAGATACATAAAATTAAAAACCCTTTTAACCTGAATGTTTATATAGATTATGCTTCTTGATTGGACAATACTTGAAATTTGTGTCAGGATTTAAGATTAATTATAGAAATAAAGTATAAATTTGAACAACAACATTACTTGATGACAAGTCTACCCAGATGTTAATAAAAAATTAACTCTCATGGTGTGTGTGTATATATATATATTTTTTTTTCATGTTTATTTATTTTTGAGATAGAGACAGAGCATGAACGGGGGAGGGTCAGAGAGAGAGGGAAACGCAGAATCCAAAGCAGGCTCCAGGCTCTAAGCTGTCAGCACAGAGCCTGATGCGGGGCCCGAACTCACATACCATGAGATCATGACCTGAACCGAAGTCAGACGCTCAACCAACTGAGCCACCCAGGTGCCCTTCATGGTATATTTTTAGTTGGATTTTTGTCCACCTTTTAATTCTAATGTTAAGGTTTGAAGGGGGTATAAGTAACACGCATCTTTTTAACAATAGTTCTATAGTAACTGAAAACAAAAAAGAATGGGATATGAAATCCGAATGTTACTCTTTATTATTGCTACAACTGTGGAGGATGAGGGTTTTATCTGCATGAAAGTGTGTTCCTAGTCCTGAACCCTAAACACCAGTAGCACTGGATCACAGTATTTCACCCCATGTGAGGCAAGCAGGTTTGATTCTTTAAAATGCAGAACAGAATGTATACATTGCAAATAAGAGCATAAGATTGGGAAGAAACCAGAGGAGTGGGGAAGATTTATTTCTCTTCATATGTTGTCTTTTTATCCTTTTTACATTGTGCTTAACCATTGAGCTGATGGTCAAGCAAGGCTGTGACCAATGACTTCCTGGAGCTTTTCCCCCAATACTTAGTACTCTCACTTTGAGAATTTTCCTGGGATATTCCCCCCTGGTAGGTAGTTTATAGTTTGCTCCTAGAAGGCTCTTAAGTGGGTTAGACCTATTACGTTAATTAAAATTAAATGCAAATGCACTGATTGGATTCTAACAGAGTATTGTCTATAAAGAACTCTCAAAACTCAGCAGTGAATAAAACAATCCAGTCAGAAAATGGGCAGTAGACAAGAACATTTTATCAAAAAGGATATACAAGTGGCAAGTAAGCATATAAAAAGATACTTGACATTAGCCATTAGCAAGATGCAAATTAAAAACACAAGGAAATAATCTCTGTATACCCATCAGAATGGCTAAAATGTAATAATAGCACTGAGTGCTAAGGAGAGTGTGGAGAAACTGGATTATTCATGCATTACAGGTGGGAATGTAAAATATTACAGCCACTCTGGAAAGCAGTTTGGCACTTTTTAAAGAAATCTAAATGTGTAACTACCATATTATCCAGTAATTGCATCTTGGGCATTTATCCCAAAGAAATGATAACTTGTGTTCACACAAAAACCTGTACCCAAGTGTATAGCAACTTTATTTGTAATAGCCAAAACCTATAAACAATCCAGATGTCGTTTAGTGAGTGCATGGTTAAACATATTAGCTATATCCACACTGTGGAATACTACTCTGCAATAAAAAAGAATGACTTATTGATAAACAAATTGAATGAATCTTGAAGAAATAATGCTGAGTGGGAAATCAGTCTCAAAAGGCTACACACTTTATTATTTATGGACTGTTCTTAAAATGACAGAAGTATAGAGGTGGATAACCGATTAGTGGTCCTAGACTTTGTGGAGAGGAGGTGCTGAGAGGGAATACAAAGGTGTGGGCATGATAATTAAAAGTATACCACAAGGGATCTTTGTAGTGATGGAAATGTTCTGTATCTTGACTGGGGTAATGGATACACAAACTTGCACATTGATAAACTGGAATAGAACTAAATACACATACACACATGAGTAGAAGAAAAACTGGGGAATTCTGAATAGTACTAATATGTTGTATCAATGTCAACATCCAAGTTGTGATAGCGTATTATAGTTTTGCAAAATACTACTATTGGGGAAAACTGGGTAAAGGAGACAAGGAATTTCTGTATTTTTTCTTAAAACTATATGTGATTCTGTGGTTATTCCAATAAATTTAATTTAAAAAGAATAAATAATGGGGCTCCTGGGTGGCTCAGTCGGTTAAACATCTGACTTTGGTAGGGTCATGACCTCATGGTTCGTGGGTTTGGGCTGTGCTTCAGGCTCTGTGCTGAAAGTGCAGAGCCTTCCTGGGATTCTCTCTTCCTCTCCCCAAACTTGGGCATGTGCTTGCGTGCACGCTTGCTTGCTTACTCTCTCTCTCAAAATGAATAAACTAAAAAAATAAATAAGAAATCAAGATCAAACAAAAAATTAAATCAAGCCCGTTCTTTTTACAGGATTTAAATTTACTCTATTTTCCATTTAGAATTATGACCAGCTGCATTAGAGATTCTTCAGTTAAGTAAAATGACAACATTCATATACTCTAGTAATAAAATATCCACATTATAGAGCTATTCCAAGTTTGAATATTAACTCCCTTCCAACTGAAATCTCCAGGGAAAAATTAAAGTTCAAATATTAAATAGCCCTGCAGGTCAAAAACTTTAAAGGTGTAAGGAATTAAAATAAAAAATAAAATTCTCTTGCAATTGTAAGCGAGGTTCCATGAAATTAAAGTTCACAATTAATGTTCTTCAACTTTTTTTCTGTTGCTCACTTTCAGCTTGATGCCTGGAATGAGTTGAAGTTTTTTAAATAGCTGAAGCTATACCTACTTTTCATTGGAGAGGACATAGTTCTTTCAGGGCATTAGAAGTTATATTAGTTCACCCTCAAGGTTTTCTCCTAATTCTTTTTTTAAGATTCTAGCTATCCATCGGCACAAGAGATCATCACAGCCCAAAGATCATCACAGCCCTACACTGACATAATGTTAAAAAATACAATTTCTAACCCTTGGAGTAGTTACGTTAGGAATAACCATGTTCCCAGGACTGAGTACTTGATTTGCTAGGGACCATAAGCAGAAACAGTAGTATCAAGTTCAAGTAGACCATCTGTCTTTCCAGTATTCCAGTCATTTAATGCCAAATGTCCAGAGCTCATAGCCTATGCATTTAAACTTAGAAATGGTTATCATATCCTCTGCCTGAAAAGAAAACATCAGGAGTAGCATTCCTTCTCTGACACTGAACATACCTTTCAGAAATCATTTATAATAATTCTAGATTAACGTGTGACTTATAATTCTCTTTCAGTAGGCAGGAAGAATGGAGAACTGCAAAGGGAGAAGAAGAAATAAAAACTTACAGGTCAGAAGAGAAAAGAAAACACTTTGCTGTTCCAAAAGAAAATAAAATACCCACTGTTGCAAAGGTAAATAATAATTACTTTGATGTTTAATATTTTGCTTCATAAGTATAATGAATATTTTAAGGCCCTTTGGTAATTAAAAATGTTAACATTTTTTTTTTTTTTTTTTCAACATTTATTTATTTTTGGGACAGAGAGAGACAGAGCATGAACGGGGGAGGGGCAGAGAGAGAGGGAGACACAGAATCGGAAACAGGCTCCAGGCTCTGAGCCATCAGCCCAGAGCCTGACGCGGGGCTCGAACTCACGGACTGCGAGATCGTGACCTGGCTGAAGTCGGACGCTTAACCGACTGCGCCACCCAGGCGCCCCAAAATGTTAACATTTTTAAAAGACTATTTCATTAATGAAATAAAGTTTATATAGTTAATTCTTGATTATCTCTTTGGATGATCAGTTATCACTTTATTTTTTTATTTTACTGCCTTCAAGCATACCTTTTCCCCAAATGCCAAGTATTACTTGCCTATTAAATGTAATAAATTGTATTGTAAGTCTAATAAGCAAGATCCTTTTAGTTCTGCCATTGATTACACACTTAAAAGTTTTTTAGTTTTGTATTGTCCTATCCATTTTTTTGTTTTGTACCTGTTCTTCTAGGTAAGTCAGTTATGCTACTATAAATAATAGTTCTTATTATCTCTATTAAAAAAAAAATTGTTTCTATGAGTTTGCTTTGTTGGTTTCTCTGTCTTCCTACTCTGGAAAAGCTTTTGGATCTGGTAGGTTTCTCTTTCTTAGTCATGCCCTAATCTGAGAAAGATGTGTACTTATCTTCTTGAATGTCAAAGAATCACAATGACCTATTTTTCCATTCTTTCTCTTTTTCAAACCATCTTCGCTTAGAAGGTTCAGAGCCTTAGAGTGCAAAATGGAAGTAAACTATGGTGCTTCTTTTCTCTTAGAAGTCACCATCTAAACAAAAAATAACTGATTTCTTTACCCTGCTTTGTCCTCTTTCCTCTTTCTATTTGAGTTCCTTAAAACTATTGTATATTAGTCTTGCTTACAAGAACTCTCTTTTTTTTTTATTTTGTGACTCTTGTTTTTAAAGGACTCAGGTGGTCCTTTGCTATTGTATATTTTCCTTTATTTAGGGGTATCATACTCTGGAATCAGTAGGACCTCACAAAGGTTCATGTTAGTGTAATCTGAGGTAATCTTTTGTTTTCTGGGGGTCTTTTTGGTTGGTTGGTTGTTGGTGGTTTTCGTGGTGGCTAAACAGCACACCCTTTTCTGGATCCTTTGTTCAGAATCCAAGGATGTAGAGATATAAACTCATGTAATGATGGTGAGAGTTTGTATGGCTAGCACCTTTTTGGATGAGATATGGTAATATCTGTTAAAAGAACATGCTTGCTTTTAATCCATTGGTATTTGGATTACTTTAAAGAGCAGTTTTTGTGGGGGGCACCTGAGTGGCTTAGTCGGTTAAGCATCCTGAGTTCAGCTCAGGTCATTATCGTGTTTCGTGAGTTTAAGCCCTACGTCAGGCTCTGTGCTCACAGCTTGGAGACTGGAGCCTGCTTCAAATCTGTGTCTCCCACTCTCTCTGCCCCTCCCCCACTTGTGCTCTGTTGCTCACTCTCTCAAAAATAAACATTAAAAAAATTTTTGAAGATGGGTTTTTTTTTTAATAGAAAACTACTGATGTACATGTATGTACGTGTATATGTGTGTCTGTGCGCTCAGATATTTATAGTTTCTCTGATGGGAACAACTAGAATGACTTTAGTGTCCACTGGTGGAAGAGAGGTGAGGTAGGCTGTCATTATGTATCCATGGAATATTATACAGCTTTTTAACAAAATGAGTTAGAACTCTGATGCCTTAGAGAAATGTTTATGATGTATTTTTAAGTGAAAAAAAGAAGTATGATAGTAAGGTTTATGACCTAGTTTTTTCTCAAATTTTATCAAAATAAGGGTTTGAAACCATACCTACAGGTGTATAAATTATGAGATGGCCATCTTTCATCTCAGAGTTGCAATGTTTTTTTCTTCCAATAATAAAAGGTACTTAGTATGCAGGTAGGAAGTATAAATTAATACAAGAAACTGTTTAGAAAGCAATAATAATAAAAGGATTTTTAGCAGTAGGTTTTGTCCTAAAAAATTACTTGGCTTAAATAAATAGAAACTATATTTTGCTCTGATAAAAGCCTTAGTCAGTGGTCCTGGTCCACTGATCTGTAAATTTTTAAATGAATTTGAATTGTAGGTGAAAATGTTAGATGAAAGAAGTAGGGTACATTACATTCCTCATGCATTACAATTATGATTTTAGTTGACCACTATTTCCTTTTTATACCCTTTTGAATTTCCCAGAATTCCTAGAAAATTACAAAACCCTTCAATAATCCTTTTAGAGAGAATCCAGGTGGAGTGAATCTTGTGTCCTTGTACGTGAAAATGTCTTTTATTTCACATGGCTATTGCTAGTAACCATTTGGACAAGAGTAGGGCTGAAGTGCAAGGCAGTGTTCTAGTGACAAGAGTGGTTGCGGAGAAAGAACTGGAGAGTGGAGTTGGATGAAAGAACAGGGAATGGTTGAACTCAGATTGCAGTTATGATGAGTCTTTTTTTTTTTAAGTCTTTACATTTGCTTTATTTTTATTAATGTTTGTTTATTCACTTTTCTTTTTTTTTTTTT